TAATTATAACTGTGAACAACCCCCTTTAATTAAACAAATATACAGTGAAGGGAAAAAAGTATTTGATCCACTGCTGATTTTGTACATTTGTCCACTGACAAAGGAGTGATCAGTGTATAATTTTTTTTTGTAACATGGGATTTCATCCCCGCTTTTATTTTTTTATTGAAAATTTTTAAATATTTTTACAAAAAACAAAAGCCAAAAAATCGACCCTAACCCACCCACCCCAACCCTCCCTCTCCATCCCCCCCGACCTTCCCAGAGCTGAATATAGGCTTAATTAAAATTTTTAAGAATCTTACAAAAATTGAAAAAGTATAAATCATAAATATATCTAAATACCTTACATAAACAACTTATAAAGTAATTAACAATAAGATATATGTAAAGAAAAACATAAGTATTTAAAAAAGGTACTTAAAAGAAAAAGATGATAAAAAAAAGAAAAGAGAAAGAAAAGAGATATAAAAAAGTACAATCTATAAAATATTGAAGTTTATATACAAGTTATTAAAAAGCTAAATGATATTTTTATATCCAATTTATATTGTATAAAATTTATCCATTTTTCCCATACCGCAAAGAATTTCTCTTGCGATTGCTCCTTTAAAAAAGCCGAAATCTTTGCCATTTCCGCCAAATAAGAAACTTTAAAAAACCACTCTTGCAAAGTAGGCAAGGATTCCTTCTTCCAGTAGGTTGCCCTACTAACAACCTTGCGGCTGTGATTAAATTTAACATCAATATAACCTCCTTAGTGTCACAATCAATAACAATACCTAACAGAAACAATTGTGGGGTAAATTTTACCCTCCTTCTAAAAATTCTTTGAATATTCCACCATATCTTAATCCAAAAAGCTTTTATATTTTTACACGACCACCAAATATGATAATAAGTAGCATCCAAACAACCACATCTCCAACATTTAGGCTGTAAGTCAGGATACATACGAGACATTTTTTGTGGATCAAGGTGCCATCTGTAAAACATTTTGTAAAAATTCTCCCTTAAATTCTGGGCTTGTGTAAATTTAACATTCCTCACCCAGATGGTTTCCCAGGTATCTAGTAGAACTGGTTCAACAAAATTTTGTGCCCATTTAATCATACATTCTTTAATTAGTTCTGGTTCTGAATCCAGTTCTACTAGCACCCCATAAGTTCTCTTAATATGAGTTCGCCTTTGGTCTTTTACTTGTTTAAAAAGATTTTCATCTTCTCTAAGCAAACCCATATTACGATCTATCTTCCATCTATCCACTATTTGTCTATACTGAAACCATGAATATGTAAGATTTTCATGTGCTAAATCTTCCAAAGATTTTAACTGCCAATTTTTACCATCCCATCTGAGTAATTGTGCATAAGAAACACTATCCGTCTTAACTCCTCTCCTTATCCCCTCTATCGCATGCCAAGGTATAGCCCATAATGGTATTTTAAAATCTCTTTTATAATATTTCCTCCAAACCCGAAGTAAAGAAATCCTTATATATGAGATTTAAAAACCCGGTCCACTTTTTTATTAAAAATTAAATAGGCATGCCATCCAAAAAGTAAATCCCAACCCTCCAAATGGAGTATTTCTACATTTGTTAAATTAACCCAATCACTAATTAGTGTTAAAGCCACAGCATCATAATATAATTTCAGATTCGGTACCTTGAGTCCGCCTCTCTCACGGAAGTCTTGCATAATTTTAAGCTTTACCCTTGGTTTTTTCCCTGCCCAAATAAATTTGTTAATACCTTTCTGCCATTCATTTAAGTTAAGCTCATTCTTTAAAATAGGTAACATTTGAAATAAAAAGAGAAATTTTAGCAGGACATTCATTTTAATCACTGCAATTCTTCCCATAAGAGATAACTGTAAGTTCTCCCAATTTTTCAAATCTTTTTGTAGCCTGACCCACAGCCTTTCATAATTATTTTTATACAATTTCACATTAGAAACAGATAGGGTAACCCCCAAATATTTTATCTTATCAACAACTTCAAAGTCTGTCAGATTAACCAAAATCTGCTTATCCAAATTAGTCATATTTTTGATCAGTGTATAATTTTAATGGTAGGTTTATGTTAACAGTGAGAGACAGAATAACAACAAAAAAAATCCAGAAAAATGCATTTCAAAAAAGTTATAAATTGATTTGCATTTTAATGAGTGAAATAAGTATTTGATCTCTTATCAATCAGCAAGATTTTTGGCTCCCGGGTATCTTTTATACAAGTAACGAGCTGAGATTAGGAGCACTCGCTTAAAGGGGATGCTCCTAATTTCAGCTTGTTACCTGTATAAAAGACATCTGTCCACAGAATCAATCAATCAATCAGATACCAAACTCTCCACCATGGCCAAGACCAAAGAGCTGTCCAAGGATGTCAGGGAAAAGATTGTAGACTTACACAAGGCTGGAATGGGCTACAAGACTAACGCCAAGCAGCTTGGTGAAAAGGTGACAACAGTTGGTGCAATTATTTGCAAGTGGAAGAAACACAAAATAACTTCAATCTCCTTCGGTCTGGGGCTCCATGCAAGATCTCGCCTCTTGAAGTTTCAACGATCATGAGAATGGTGAGGAATCAGCCCAGTTCTACACGGGAGGATCTTGTCAATGATCTCAAGGCAGCTGGGACCACAGTCACCAAGAAAACAATTGGTAACACACTACGTGAAGGACTGAAATCCTGCAGCACCCTCAAGGTCCCTCTGCTCAAGAAAGCACATGTACAGGTCGGTCTGAAGTTTGCCAATGAACATCTGAATGATTCAGATGAGAACTGCGTGAAAGTTTTGTGGTCAGCTGAGACCAAAATCGAGCTCTTTGGCATCAACTCAATTCGCCATGTTTGAAGGAGGAATGCTGCCTATGAACCCAAGAACATCATCCCCACCGTCAAACATAGAGATGGAAACATTATGCTTTGGGGATATTTTTCTGCTAAGGAGACAGGACAACCTCACTTCATTAAAGGGACGATGGACGGGGCCATGTACTGTCAAATCTTGGATGAGAACCTTCTTCTCTCAACCAGGGCATTGAAAATGGGTCGTGGATGGGTATTCCAGCATGGCAATGACCCGGCCAAGGCAACAAAGGAGTGGCTCAAGAAGAAGCATATTATGGTCTTGGAATGGCCTAGCCCAGGGATAGGCAACCCAAAACACTTAAAGAGCCACTTGGACCCGTTTCCCACCAAAAACAAAACACTGGGAGCCGCAAAACCCTTTTGATATCTAAAATGAAGATAACACTGCATATATCCTTTTTTACCTTTATTATAGGTGTGTGTGTTTGTGTGTGGGGGGTATTTGTGTGTGTGTATGTGTGTGTGTGTGTATATATGTATATGTATGTATGTATGTATTTATGTATGTGTGTGTGTATATATATATATATATATATATATATATATATATATATATATATATATATATATATATATATATGTATGTATACATACATACACACACACACACACACACACACACAGGTTAAAAAAAGGATATATGCAGTGTTATCTTCATTTTAGATGTCAAAAGGGTCTCTCTCTCTCTCTGTCTCTCTCCCTCCCTCTCTATCTGCCCTTGGTCTACCACTCCTCTTCCCCCACTCTCTTTCTTTCTCTCTCTCTCTCTCTCTCTCTCTCCTCTCTCTCCCTCTCTCTCTCTCTCTCTCTCTCTCCCCCCCCTCTCCTATCTGCTGCTCACCTGGCAAGCTTCAAGGTGTTGTCCAACAAGATCAGAGGTAGGCAACCTCGTCTCTTTTATGACTCATGGACTTCAACTCCCAGAATTCCTGAGTCAGCCTAGCTGGGCTAGCTAGCTCTCTCCTGCCCTTCCTGCTTCCTGCAGAGACGCAGCAAAGGGAGGAGCTCCGCCCTGTAAGCTTTTCAGCTCCTCGGAGAACATGTGAGTACACTCTCTTTTACACATACACACACACACACACACACACACACACACACAAAACACAAACACACACACACACACACACAGAGAGAGAGATTGAAGCAGGGAAGCGCAATTGCCTCTCTCTGTCTCTCTCTCTCTGCAAAGGCAGAGGAGGCTGGGAGCCACAGGGGAAGGCTCAAAGAGCCGCATGCGGCTCCGGAGCCGCAGGTTGCCGACCTGTGGCCTAGCCAGTCTCCAGACCTTAAACCCATAGAAAATCTGTGGAGGGAGCTGAAGGTTTAAGCTGCCAAACGTCAGCCTCAAAACCTTAATGACTTGGAGAGGATCTGCAAAGAGGAGTAGGGCAAAATCCCTTTTGAGATCTGTGCAAACCTGGTGGCCAACTCCAAGAAACATCTGACCTCTGTGATTGCCAACAAGGGTTTTTCCATCAAGTACTAAGTCATGTTTTGCGAAGGGGTCAAATACTTATTTCACTCATTAAAATGCAAATCAATTTATAACTTTTTTGAAATGCATTTTTCTGGATTTTTTTTGTTGTTATTCTGTCTCTCACTGTTAAAATAAACCTACCATTAAAATTATAGACTGATCATTTCTTTGCTAGTGGGCAAATGTACAAAATCAGCAGGGGATCAAATACTTTTTCCCCTCACGGTAAGTTCTTTCCTATTCAACTGTTAACTAAATGAATGGAACAACAAACCCCAGCTTTCTTCACAGTCCAGATTAAGTCTCATAACCCCCCCCCCCGAAATCCACCTTGTCTCAACTCTCAGGAATTACTTAAACAAAAAACAGAGAAGACACTAACATGAACACAGCTATTGTAACCCTGTTTTTCTTCAAAGCAATCCTACAGAAGCAGTCAATCTCAGCTTGCTTTCCAATCTTTAAGAACCTGCACATATATCTACAAGATTAAATCTAAAAATCAAAACTACACACCAGGTTTACATTCTTTTATCTACAAGAGCTTCTCTATGTATTGCAGATTTCAAGTAATTAAATTCTTGCTTACCAAAGGCATATGTACATAATAGCACAAACCAAGGTTTTAAATTAATAAGTCTAACTCACTTTATTTTCTCCACTGCACCCACTGTTGTTATCATTATCTTCACCCTCACCCTCCTCCTCCTCCTCCTCCTCTTCTTCCTCTTCTGGTAGTGGTACAGAACCATCATAACCATAAAGGCTAAGAAGCTCATGAATTGGCATATCACCTTCCTAAAAAGAATTAAAACAGGACATAAGAATTTAACCAATTATAAACCATTATGGGATGACTAATCAACAGTAGCAACAATTGCTCCTTGGTGAGCAAATGTTGAACTTTATATGTCTATAAAGACAGACTTCAAGTGTACATGTGTTTGTTAATAGCAGAAGACAGGGTAGGATACTGATGCTGTCTGATAGGATAACCACGTAACAATCAGGTACAGGAAAAGAAGGATGGAGCAATTTCTACTCTGTGTGAATAGGAAACACTAAGACACATACAGGCACATGCACACGCTCACACACATACATACGCTACTCAATCTGACAATAGTAACAAGGAAGAAAAGCTACAAGTGAGTGGTTTATGTTATATGATTGATTTTGAACAAATTAATGCTAGGCAGGACAACAGATGTCGGATTATCACAAATGAAAATGTCTTTTGAATGGAGTAACAAGTGTATACATATAAATTTACATCTAGAGTTATAAGTATTTTGCAGAAAGCTAGGTTTATCTTTTTTTACACACTAATTACATGGCTAATTAGTGCCATATAATTAGTGCCAAAATTGTTCTATAGTGCCAGAAATGTACTATAAGAATACATTCATTCTAATAGACAATTTTTCATCCTGAAAAATATTTATATAGGCCAGCAATTAACATGTTGTACACATAACAAACATGTACATACATATACTATATAGATTATGTACAAATATTATATACAACACACATATGCACATACACAACAGTATTATACACAACATACATGTGCACGTACACAAGAGTAGAGATACAAAAAATAAAATAGTAAAGAAAGAGCAACAATAATAAAGCAAATAAAACAAAAAGAGAAGTCACTTTGGTGTAGGGCAGGGGTAGGCAACCTTGGCTCTTTTATGCCTCGTGGACTTCAACTCCCATGCTGGCTCAGGAATTCTGGGAGTTGAAGTCCACGAGTCATAAAAGAGCCAAGGTTGCCTACCCCTGGTGTAGGGATTAATGCATCGGGCAAGAAACCAGGAGATTGTGAGTTCTAGTCCTGCCTTAGGCATGAAAACCGGCTGGGTGACTTTGGGCCAGTCATTATCTCTCAATGCAACGCAACCCACTTCACAGGATTGCTGTTGTGGGGAAAACAGAAGGAGGAAGGAATAGTATGTATGTTCACAGTCTTGAGTTAGCTATAAAGTAATAAAAATCTAATAAATAAAACAAGTAAAGATAATTCAAAACATAACTGCATTTTCCAAGTCTCATGAATTCCAAGCCTCTGAAATTCTAACAGATAAGTTTCAAGGATTTTTAAAAACACCTTTTAGATGATGATTTCATCAACTACTAATCTGTTATCAATAAAATAATGTGCAAGCTAAATACATGTCATTCAATCATACACAAATTTGATGTAACTGGCCATAATAAATCCCCATGAGCAATTTTCAATATTGATCAAACTATCCATAGAACTGAATCTATGCAATATCTTTAATATGTACTAGCATTTTATCTGTACTAGGCTTTCACATAAAGTCAGTACTTCTGACCTTCGCTATCTATTTTATAAGCAACTGATATGTGACTGACATGCAGGTTCTTTGTTCCATTAAGAAGCTGCACCAATTTGATGGGACACACATTTTCATGGTGACACTTGCTACATAAATGATGAGGAACACTGACATGGAACTTGCAATGTTCTCATAATCTCACAATCACTGCTATTCTCCAGGAATGTTCACTTCACTATTTCTTTGATTTCAAGAATACAAAGTAATTATCTCAGAAATCATTGACAGGAAAACAACTTAAATATTTTTCACTTCAGTCTACTATAACTAAAATATTGTATATTTTCCAAAATGTGCATATACCAAGAATTCATAACCATTAACCTAATTCTAATCCTCTATTTGCTGATACAATTAGTCAATAATCAAACTACTTTCATCCTTACATAAAGAACAAGTCTAAAGTAAGCTATATTGTTTTCAGAGGGAACTTTTTTCCATATAGGTTGACTTTTAAAAAAAACATTGCCAGAAGCTAGTATCTTCAACATGTTAATATAAGCACTGTCAATTTCTTTTTAACATCATATTTCACTTACTAAAGAACATTTGTGATTGCTTAAACAGAGAAATTTTTAAGTGCAGTTGGATTTTTATAATCCACAATGGTAAATAATTGTATACTTGCTTTTTCATCCTGACAGTCCCAGGAACTGCTCAGGATACAATTTATGCATAAGCATGCCAGCATTTACTTTTTTATGATCATCGGGGGAGGGGATTCTTTTGCTTTGTTGAGTATCTTTCTTCCTGAAGTAATCTGAAGATTTTGCATTTTGGTCTAAAAATTTATCTTCCTAAAATTGGAATTTTTATATCCAACTGGGCTTCTAGAAAATAAATACACCTAAAACACCTTTATCAATAGCTTAGATGGAAATACTTTATACTAAATAAAGCCTGTATAACCTTTATATCTTATTAGAAAGAGATGACTAAAATTTCCATAGTGGCTATATAATATTTTATATGTCCTTCTACTAAGATACAGATTTAATTTTTGTTTGTTTCCATTATTTTTCAAACAACATTTTAAGTGTGCCATTTAAAATAACTGCAGGGATGTTTCAGATATATAAGTACTTACATAATTCTGTTTTTATTTGGATGATGTTCATTTCAGGAACATTAACATAATAATGCACAAGCACAGTCATGATACAACCTATTACTAAAACAGATTATACCATATGTCAGGCAATGTGCAAAAAATGTAATACTGAAGTCACTATTTCACTGAATTTTTGAAAAATGTCTATTTACTTTCAGGCATTTGTGAGAAGAATATGCATGTATAATATTTGCAGTTTTTTTTTAAAAAAAAATATTTACCCTTGTAAGATCTTCTATTTCAGAACTGAAGTTTGTTTCTCCTTCCATCATTTCTTCCTCTTCTAGTGTTCGTTCGTCATCAAAATCATGTACCAGCATGTCTGCTGTTGGGTCAAATTCATGGTCATCTGATGTTGCAGACCCTCCTAGAATTTGATTAACAATCACAACACTGATCATCTTACAGATTTAAGTATAGTATTACTACATGACTGCAAAAATCAAGAATACGGTAATTTAACAATTAAGGCAAGATAATACAGTACTTGAAGAAATCATAGAACAATGATATTATAGTAATTCTGCAGGATCCAATCTAATCCTCAAAGTTACCTGAAGATGGGCTCCAGCATGAATCTGAAAGCTCGGAAGACAAAAACTCTGATCTTGGTGACCGACCCAGATTGGATCCTGCAACATTATCCCAGGACATGTATACAGTATTCGTCTTCATTCATATAATAATTCTACTCAGGCTTTTCTCCACTATCAAGCTATAGTGCTATGTACTCCACCATAGCAGAAAACTATATGGACGTGACATTTGTTTTCTCCCTTGTCAATCACTATCCTGCCTTTATTGCCTCTGATCACTGCAAGTTGATTCACTACAAGGCATTTAACTTCCGTTCAAGATAACAGCTTGTGAAACTAATGGATTTTACACATTGTGAAGCTATCCCTGGCCAGTGCCATAATAACATTGCTAAGAATCACTTTAAGTATGTCTGACTTGGGCTGAGGTTGGGATGAAGGAAAGGGGCGTTGTCTTACCTGAACGCCTTTTCTCAGCAGGATGATGTAGAGTCCAAATGGATGGGTTCTATGACGGCCTTCCTGCCTGGCAGACTGGGTAAAAACTTCGGCCACACCCCTTCCTTTGGGCGTGACCCCAGTTTTGACTTAGGCGAGAAACTTTGTTGGAATTAACATTGCAGCTCTTTATTATATCTTTATTATATCCCTGCCTAGACCTATCCTCTGGGTGGGCTTGGACTCTACATCATCCTGCTGAGAAAAGGCGTTCAGGTAAGACAACGCCCCTTCTCCAGCAGGATGACTGTAGAGTCCAAATGGATGGGACATACCAAAGCCCTCATGTCCCCCTGGGAGGGAAAGTCTAGGCTACCGAACTCTGAGCAGATACGACCTGTTGAAGAACTCTTCTGCCAAAGGCCGCGTCTGCTGCTGCTAGGGAGTCTAAACGGTAATGTCGGATGAAAACCGAAGGTGAGGACCAGGTTGCGGCCTTGCAAATCTCTTCCACTGGAGCTTGCGTTAGCCACGCCGCAGATGTGGCTGCGCTCCGAGTTGAGTGGGCAGTCACCTGAGTGGGTGCTGGCAAATCCTGTGAAACGTAGGTCTGCGCTATGCAGGCTCTGATCCACCTGCCTATGGTGGAAGAAGATACCTTCTTTCCCATAGTTGATGGTTGAAAAGACACAAATAATGCTTCAGTCTTTCGGAAAGCCGAGGTGCGTTTCACGTAGAAACACAGTGCTCTCCGTACGTCTAGCTTGTGCCATCTGTGTTCTAGCCTATGTTTGGGTCTTGGACAGAAATCAGGAAGCGTAAGTTCCTGAGATCTGTGAAAGATGCTATTTACCTTCGGGATGAAGGTCGGGTCTGGTCTAAGAACGACCCTGTCTTTGAAAAAGGTACACAGATCCTTCCTTACTGACAGTGCTGCTAGTTCTGAGATTCTCCTTGCTGAAGTAATTGCCACAAGGAAAGCTACCTTCAGTGATAGGTGATGGAGTGAGCATGTTTCAAGAGGTTCGAAGGGTGCTGATGTCAAGGCTAGAAGGACCTTAGGCAGGTTCCAGGATGGGTACCTGTGTATGACTGGGGGCTTTGTGTTAGATGCCCCTTTTAAAAAGGCATTAATCGCTGGATGTTGTGCTAGGGAAGTTAAGTTGTCGCAGGAGAGTACAGTTGAGAGGGCCGATATCTGTCTGCGGATAGTATTGACTGACAGGCCCTTATTAAGACCCTCCAATAGGTAATCTAGGATATTGGGGATAGATACTGCGGTCGGGTCTAGGTGAAGCGAAGCGCACCACCTACAAAATCCCTTCCATGTAGCGTCGTAAATCCTATTAGTGGACGCTCTTCGTGATGCCTGTATGATCGATATCACCCCTGCAGAATAAGATTGTTTAGTTAAGCTTTGCCGCTCAAATGCCAAGCGGCTAGTTGTAGCCACTGGGGGTCTGGGTGTACGAGCTTGCCCTGACTGAGTTTTACCCTGTCCGGGGGAATCCTCCACGGAGGTGATATCGAAAGGTCCACGAGGTCGGCAAACCACGGGCGCCGTGGCCAGTGAGGGGCAATGCAGACCATTTCTGCGCCCTCCAGGATCATCTTGCGTATGGTTGCCGGTATTAGTGGCAGCGGTGGGAAGGCGTACAGGAGTTGCGCCGGCCACCGGCACCTGAGAGCATCCGTTCCCTCCGATCCCGGGGACGGGAATCTGGAGAAGAACCTGGGGAGTTGTGTGTTCTTGTGGTTGGCAAATAGATCTAGGTGCGGTTGTCCGAACCTCCGGGAGATCTCCTCGAAGAGAGCCGGGTCCAGACGCCATTCCGACTGGTCCACCTTGGCTCTGCTCAGGGAGTCTGCCTGGGTGTTTGTCTCCCCTGAGATGTGTTCCGCTCTGATGGAACTCACATTGGCTTCTGCCCACCGAGCCAGAGCCAATGCTTCCTTCATTAGTTCCGCTGATCTCGTTCCTCCCTCCTTGTTTACATGTGCCTTGGCTGCTACGTTGTCTGTTAGTATGAGGACGTGCCTCCTCGTTACTAGGTGTGAGAAATGGCGGAGGGCCAGGTGTATGGCCCGGAGCTCTAGCCAGTTGATGCTGTGTGACAGGTCCTTCTGTCCCCACTGGCCCTGTGCTATCTGTGTTCCCAGGTGGGCTCCCCATCCGAACAGGCTCGCGTCTGTCGTGAGTGTGACCCTGTTCGGTTCCCTGAATATGCTCCCCTTGAGTGTCGTGGGGGATAGCCACCACTTTAGTGATTTCATCACCTGTGCTGGTACCAGCACACTCCTGTTGGAGGTGCTGAGGTTCCTCCTCTGGTAGGGTAGGAGGAACCACTGCAACTCCCTCGAGTGTAGCCTTGCCCATGGGATGATGCCCATGCAAGATATCATCTTCCCCAGGAGCTTCGAGAGTTGTAGCAAGGGCACTCTCCTGATCCTTAGAATTTGGTGGATTAGCTTGGACATGCTGATCAGTCGCTCCTGGGAAAGGAATACCCTGCACTGTGACGTGTCTATCACCGCGCCCAGGTGTTGCAGTCTCCTTGAGGGAATGAGGTGGCTCTTGTTTAGATTGACCGAGAATCCGTGCCCCTGTAGGGTTCGGATTGTGGTCTTGAGATCTGCCCTTGCTTGTTCCCGAGATCTGGACTGGATCAAGATGTCGTCCAGATAAAACTGGACGCGAACCGGGATCAACCTGAGATGGGCCGCTAGTACAGCTAAGATCTTTGTGAATACCCTTGGTGCTGACGACAGTCCGAAGGGTAATGCCCTGTATTGGTAATGTCGCCCCGCGTAGGTAAATCTGAGGAATTTCCGGTAGCTGGGGTGGATGGGGATGTGTAGGTACGCCTCTGTGAGGTCTATTGAGGATAGTAGATCGTCTTCCCTGACGCTGGCTAGTATGGACTTTAGGGAGTGCATCTTGAACCTCCTGTACTTTATGAAATAGTTCAGGCCCTTCAGGTCCAAGATTGCTCTCCACCCTCCTGATGTCTTTGGGATAACGAAGAGGATAGAATAAAATCCTCTTCCTTCCTCTTCCTTTGGTACCTTCTCTATGGCTTGAATTGACAGGAGGTGAGCTATGGCCGAAGTTATCAGCCTTGTCTTGTGTACTCTTCTGGAGATGGGACATCTGATGAACCGGTTTGGAGGGGGAGAACAGAAGTCTAAGGTCAGGCCATGCCTGATCGTTTCCAGGACCCAGGCGTCGGTAGTGGTCTGTTCCCAGACTCGGTGAAATTTCCTAACCGACCCCCGATGGGTGTATCCTGTTTGGCGTCACTTGGTACGCTTAAAGGATCTGCCTCCCGCTCCTCTATATGGGCGTCTGGACTGGAACTGGCCCCTGGCTCCCGGGCTTTGGCGATCCTGGGTTCGATCCTGTCTCGGGTAGAAGGATCGTGAGCCTCTGGGCCAGTCCCAGGATTGCCCTGATCGAAAGGGCTGCCTCCATTCCCAGGGGCTTCCTGGGCGGGAGCCCTGCCTCCGGAAGTCCTGACTGCCTCTCCTGTCTAACTTCTTTGATGGATGTACTAGGATTTTTTTCTTGTCTCTGCCTTCGCTGACATGTGGATCCAGAATGGAACCAAATAGGGCCTCTCCACTGTATTTGGACGTCGAGAGACGCCATTTGGACCTCAGGTCTGTCTTCCAGTTTTTGAGCCACAGTAGCCTACGCGAGGCCACTGTGGCCGCAATGGATCTTGCCGCATACTTTGTTGCGTACAGTGAAGCGTCAGACATGAACTGAGAGGCCGCGAGGAGTTTGGCCAATGTCTGGTGTACTCTGACCTGGTCTGGAGGCACCGTGCCCTGCAGTTCCCTCAGCCACATGATGCAGGCCCTCGCGAAGAATGATGATGAGGTGGCTGCTCTGGCCGCCCAGGCTGCAGCCATGTGGGAACGCCGGAAGGAGTGTTCAAATTTCTTCTCCTCAGGTTTCAAGACCTCCGCCATGTCTCCTGGAATCGCGGAGGTAGAGAATAATGAGATCAAGGGGTTATCTACAGTGGGAACCTCTAACATGTTAGAGAAGGAGGGAGATAGGTTGAAAAGCTTCCTCTCCGCGCTGTTAGGTGCCGGTGGGCTTGCAAGTGAGGACCATTGTTCCTCCAGCGTGGTCATGAAGACCTCCGCACATGGAATGTACTTGTCCTGTGGGACCTTTTTGGCAAATAGAGGGTTGGCCTCCTTGCTTGTCGATGGCCTCTCATCCTGTACTGATGTTAGGCTGACTGTGGAAACTGCCTTTATCAGGAGTGATTTTAGGAGCGCTGGGTTAAAGAGGCCAGAGCTCGTCTCCTGCTCAGGTGCAGTTTCCTCGTCCTCCGATAGGGGCATGTCTGACATGTCAAGATCTACTGAGTCACCCTCT